GGAGGAGGCAGAAGGCGGGAAGGGGGAGAGCTGAAAGGGGGACGGAGGGAAGCGGGTGAATGGGGAGGCGGAAAAGGGGAGTGCGGAAGGCCGAAAGGAGGACATGGGGAAGGGGGTGAAGGTTGGTGGAATTGATGACGGCACAGTGTGGCAACAAAGAGGGTATGCTGTTCTATGAGGCCCGATTGAAGCTGCAGGCAAGGGGAAAGCGAAACCGGCAAAGAATGAGGGCTGTGGTCCTGACGAGATCCAGATATGGTCTTGATGACCCAGACACGATCGGTCGTGAATGTCCTGGTGGCTTTGTTTGCTGCTCCTGCGGGAAGGTGCGAGCGGTTGCATGCGTATCAAGCCTGCTCCGCGGTTATGGGATTTGCGGTCTCGTGGAGTGGTGAGAGGGTGGTTGAGGACATGAATTATATTCGATTTGCTGTGCTTTGGACGGATGTCGAGGGCAATGCCGGTAAGTACTTTTGCGACCAATCAAGAAGTGAAGATGAGATGCAATGTGATGAGGAACAGGTTTGTCTTCAGACGGATGAATCTATGGAAGAAGCAAAGCTAAGGAAGAGAGCTGAGACGGGTTGGATGGCGCACAACTCCACCCCTCGTAAACAAAATATTTTTCCCCCGCGCCCCCTCCTCTTTTTCCCTCCCTGTACAAACCCTCAAGCCCACATGCGTGACTTGACAAGGTTCCGTACCCTGTGTCTTCTTGCCCTCTGTTCAGGACTCGCACTTCTGTCTCGCCTTGTTCGCATGTCGTTTAGCGTGCGGCTGCCTGCTTGTCGGGGTGAGTTCTGGGTCGATGCTTTTCAATGTGCTGCCACCATGTGCGGCCTCTTTCCACCCATAGCTTGTGCACCCGTTCTTGCTTGGCAGTTGCAGCTGCGCTTTCCCATTTGTGTTGTCGTACAACCTGGCTTTCCCCCGCGTCCTCTCCCCCTTCGCCCATCTCCACAAGCCCTCCAGCTCACATGTGTGCATTGCGAACGTTCTGTATGCGGTGTCGTTTCTTTCTGTGCTCTCTTTTCAGCACTCACCCTTCTGTCTCGCCTGGTTTGCATGTCGTTTAGCGTGCGGCTGCCTGCTTGTCGGGGTGAGTGTGGATCCATGCTGGCTGTCAATCTGTTCGCCGAACGTTCTGTACGCGGTGTCGTTTCTTTCTGTTGCTCTCTTTTCAGCACTCACCCTTCTGTCTCGCCTGGTTTGCATGTCGTTTAGCGTGCGGCTGCCTGCT